CCTTGATTTAGCCAAGAAATCTTTCCTCAAAGGATACCTAAGCAGAGACCCCCTCTGTATAAAGCAGGCAGAGGTGACAAGGTGTAAGGTCCCCAGAGGCCACTGGCTCCTACACAGCCACCCTGCTGAGCCCACGTGCATCCCCAGCCTCTGGGCGGACGCAGTGGGCCAGCTCTGGCGACCAGAGAACGGCCGTAAGACTGTGCACTGCCCCCTCAACACTGCCCTGAGTCCAGGGCCACGGAAACGTCTTTGGGGACCAGCTGATGGCATCAGGCCTGCAGGCCTTGCTCCTTGTCCAGCTCCAGGTCACAGTCGCAGAGCCACGCAGGAGGCGGGCAGCGCGCACACTCCCCGCCTCCTAGCCCGCGCCTCCCTGGCCTCCCTCCTCCCGTGACTCTGCGACGAGACTGGGGACAGGGGAGCACCGGGCCCCCGCAGTCAGCGCTGCTGTCGTCTGGAGGGCAGGAGGGCACGACGGTCGTCAGCCTCAGTCCGCCTGACGAGTTATTTTCTCCTTCAGATCAGACGTCCTGGGAGAAGCCGTTTTATAAGTAAGCTACACTGATGTGTGTCTCAGTACCGTTTAAGTAGAACCACCCACGTGGCTCTGAAACCCCAGCGGTGCAGCAGACTGGTCACGCGGCCTCTGACTTGCTGCTTGAACTGTGTGGACCCTGGTTTCCTTACCTATGAGACAAAAATGACACCACCCACCACACAGGGCTGTTAAGGACTCAACATGCCAGCCTCCGGACCAGGGGAGGGCAGAGAACAGATGCTCTGGGCGAACACCAGGCGCCCTGCCCCACGCTCCTTTCCCTGATCTGAATCGGGTTCCTTGCCGAAAACACAGAAATTAACTGCCCCGCTGTCTTGCGAACGCTGTCGCAGCTCACCCACACATCCCTCTCAAGGCTGCCGAATGGTTCCCTGCCTTGAGGAACTCAGCGGCCCTGCCCGTGAGCTTCGCCAGGTGTGACTCAGGGCTCAGCGCGGTCTTTGCCAAGAGCTTTCCTTGGGGGATGGGAGCACAGGGCATGCCGCCACCCCGGGGCCCTGGACCCCGTTTTCCCTCCGCCATCACTTCCTACTGGAATCCATTAGGACAAGGCATAAGGAAACTCAAACAGGCAGCAACAGTGTGTCATTCGGGTAACTCTCCCTCTGACAGAGACTGATGGCTTCTGCGGGGCTGAGGTCATCACTGGGAAGACACGACCAGCTGACCTGGCACTTCGGGGAAACCGTGGAGATGGCGAGTGGGCTGCAGAAAGAGTCCTGAGTGCTTTCTAGGCTTCCCCTGCCGTGATCTCAGAGGCAGAGACTCCTGCGGTGGGAGGCACCTTCTGCCCGCACGAGAGAGGGCCAGGCGGATTCGGGGTCTGGCAGCCCAAGGCGGGCAGCTCGCCAGCTGGCGGGTGGGCTCGGAAGCCGAGCTCTGCCCTTGAACAGACCTGCCTTTTCTCCAGCCCCCCTCATTCCTCATCCTGTCACTGCCCGCCCTTCGATCGCCCGCCACCAGCATCCAAGCATGTCCCTTAGCTCGGGGTGGCCTTTCAGAGGACACAGGCTGTGCTTCTACCTCCAGGGTTCCCCAGCAGATTTGGGAAGATGAAGGAGGCCCGCGAATGTTTAATGCGGAAATTCACCACGTGGCACAGCAAGGAAGGCGAGCAGGTGGGGGGAGTCCCAAACAGCTGATTTGCATCTTCAGTGAGATGCTTTTCTTCCCAGATGCCCCCCACCTGAAGTCAGACGCCGATGAAAAGCACCGAGCACAGATCACCCGGCCCGCATGGCACAGAGGATGCTGGCGTCGGCTGCACCGTGACACCTTAGCAGCAGCTTGTGAGGTGTGTGAATCGCAGAGGAGTAAACCAAGACCCAAAAAGCGGGAATAAACTGCCCGATGGCACACAGCTATTAAGTGAAAGGGCAAGGACTGAAACCCGGGTTATCTGCCCTGGAAACCGAGCCCTGAGCCCGGGCGCTTGCAGTCACGGAAGGTGTTGCACGTTCTGCACGTGGCCTGTTTACAAACGAAATTGCTCTCAGTTTGCCCGTTAGTTCATAACCGCTGACCTCATGTGCTGGTTCACTTCCTGCTCTGAGTTAGAAATGAGCAGACATTGCAGCAACCAGTTATTCCTCATTTTTACTAGTCTGTCGTGGTCCTTGCAAATTTTCAAGTACCCAAATCAATTCAGTCCTTTAACTGCACAAGCCAGTGTCAAAAGGAACGGGGTTATGGGTACACATGTCTTGTGCCACGTGTTGTAAAATTGCTACCATCCTTCGCCGTTTTAGAGACGGGCTCTCAAAGTGGGGCTGCTTCCTTGTAACTTTGAAGACGTTACTTTGAATCTCCTTAGGCTTAAGGATCTTTCATGTGGCGACAAGGATGTGAATTCCACCCAGGAAGAAAGCGCACCTGTCCGCTCCCGCGGTGAGCGGCGCTCCCTGCAGAATGAGGAGCCCACGGCGGTCACAAAGCGCCTCCTGACCGGTGGGTGAATCCCGACCAGAGCGAGATGTTTGGCTGCTGCCTTGTGGAATGATGGCTTCACTCTTCTTTCTGAAAACTCCCATTCATTCAAGACTTCCTTCAGCCCGTCAAGAGCTGCCCTGCGTTTATTCTGTATGAGGCCTGTCTGTGCTTAAATTGCATGGCCACTGTGCTCGGGGGAGGCTGGTGAGCTTATTAGCCCTGGGTCCCCCCAGGGGCGCTGGTGCCGGGGACGGGGAGCAGGCCCACGGCAGACGGCCTGGCAGCGCAGCACCGCAGGGGCGGGCGGACTCTGAGATCTGGTCAAGAGCTCGAGAAGCGTCCTGGAAGGGGAGGCCGGGGAGCCTTGGAGAGGGCGTTCAGCATTCGCGCCCCCGGAAATCAGAAAGGCGGAGACTTCCGGCGGTTGGGAGGTCATAGGCAACTGTGTGGATGTTAGGGAAGAGAAGAGAATGTGGGCTATTCAAATGGTAAAGAGAAGAGTGCTACAGCCGCAGCTCCAGGTGTCAGAGGCAGGAAGCACAGGACACTAAGCAGACAAAGAGTAACCAGGTTTGAGGAAGAAGCAGTGTGCGTGCTTAACCCTTCCCAGGAGTTCGGGTTGAACTGTGTCCCCCAGAGAGATATGTGACATCCTGACCTCCCAGCACTGAGGATTGTGATCTTATTTGGAAGCAGGGTCTTTGCAGATGGAATTAAGCTGAGATAAAGCCACTAGGGTGGCCCTCAGCCAGTATGACCCCTGCCCTGACAGGAGGAGGGAAGGCCAGGCCCAGCCACAGGGAGAAGGCTGCGTGCGGTGGTGGGGGCAGGACTGGAGCGCGCAGCTGCAGCCCTAGGGCTGGCAAGGATTTCCAGAGCGGCCAGAGGTGGGGACAGGCAGGAAAGGAGGCCCCCGTGTGTGCCAGGCCTGCCGCGATAAGGTCCCACGGGCTGAGTGACCTCAGTGACAGAGACGGGTTGTCTCCCAGCTCTGGAGGGTGGAGGTCTGAGAGCAAGGTGTCGGCGGGCCCACGCTCCCTCCGAAGGCTCCAGGGCAGGGTCTGCTCCACGCCTCCCTCCCAGCTGCTGGGAGTTGGCTGGCATCCGTCTGTGTTTCCTACGTGTAGACACATCACTCCCTCCTCTGCCTTCACGTCGCAGGCTGTTCTCCTGGGGCTGTGTCCAGACACCCTCTCCCAAGGACACCGGTCTCACTGGCGCAGGGCCACCCTCTTCTAGCTGACCCCATCTTAACTAAAGCTGCAATGAACCTGTCTCCAAATAAAGTCACCTTCTGAGGTTTCTAAGGTCCTGGGTGTTAGGACCTCAGCATGAGAACTTGGGGGGAACACAATTCGACCCCACCTTTCTTTAAAGGTTTTGGGGGGGAACTAAATTTGGACTCTGGCTTCCAAAACGGTGGTTGTTTCAGGCCACCCAGTTGTAACTGTTACAACCCCCGAGAAAACTGATACAGCTGCGAAAATAAAAGGGGGGATAAACCGAGAGCTCAGAGAGGAGGTGTGTTTTTAGAGGAAGGACTATTTCGGGAAGTTGAGCAAGTACACGGAGGGCATCTGAACACGCGGGAGGCAGAGGCAGTGCGGGGCGTGGGGAGCGGGACGGTTGGTGGACGATGGGCGTGGGTGGCATCGGGCCGGGCTGGAGGGCGAGGGGGTGCTTGTAAGTCTGTTTTACTCACGTGATCAGTCACTGCTTTGGCCGCAGACGGGAGACAGGGTGGGACGATGGTGACGTGGGGAGGGGCCTCCGGAACTTTGGAGGCTGGGCTGGGGCTGTTTTCACAGGGAGCGGAGTCTCTTGCAAGAAATGAGAGCAGTCTCTTTACTTTCTTTCCTTCTTTATCTTCCCTGACCGACCCCGATCTGGACGCGGAACAGATCTCAGCGAGAAACTGAAAGCAGTATTCCGAAGCGGAGTGGACCAAGGGAAGTTTCCAACTCCGTGTTGAGTTATTTATTCAGTGTATGGGCTCACTTACCATCTGGCATGTTTCTCTCTCATCAGGGTTAGAAAAGGTTTAAACCCCTTTCCTGGGCACCCCAGGAGGAGACCCCCCCACTATTTCACTCCCTCTCCTCCCCAGCCTGACCTTGAGCTGTCCCCAAGCTCAGGGTCACCACCCCCAGCCCTGGGGCTGCCCCGTGCCCTGGGCCAGCTCCTGGACTGGGTCTTCAGCCTCGCCAGCACCAGCTCCCCCCACCCAGGACCGTCTGCCAAGCTGATGGCTCAGTCACGGGGAGACCCTGAGTGTTTCTTTTTTCTATTTTTTAATTATTTTAGTCACACTGCATGTGCTTTGACTCATGTTACAAATAAAGCTCGGATGATCCATCGGTCAGAGACGTTTCTCCATCATTTCATTAGCTTTTGAGATACATCAAGCCAAGTCACGTTTTTAGAAGATGTTGCTCCGGTGTACATTTCAGCTAAAATCACTACCCGGTTTCAGTTTCAGAGGCGGGTTTTGCAAATTAATATGGTTCAGTTCAGCTTTGGGTTCACAATTCGGGTCAGGTCACGACCCTGAAAGCATTCCTAGATAAGGTGGCTGATATTAATTTCTTATAATAATAATGCTGAAGACAGACATGAAAATAACCCTTTGTCTGTGACCCCAAGGTCCTTGCAAAAATACAAAGGAAAGATCCCTGCATGATTTTCTTAAACCAGCACAAGATTGGAGCGTCTGTGGTATAAGCTCTGTGGTGTGAGCTCTGCGGTGCATGTGCGTAGAGCTTCCAAAACAAGCGGGGCCAGGGCCCTTCAGGGATGACACTCTTAAAACTTCCTTTTAGAAAAAGTGGGCATTTAATATTCAAGTGGCTCATGGGCGAACGGTGATTTAGGTGCCAGAGGGTGGGTATTCTGCCAGGCAGGAGTCCTGAGAACTTGAAACCCATTGCTGTTTTGCTGAAACACACTTTGATCAACAATGGGATTTTTTTTCATTGTCTTTGCTCTTAAGGTAGCGTTTACTTGCCAGTGTGTGGAGCTTTCCCTAAAAACTACGCCCACCTGCAGGAGACGGCAGGGCCTGCCCTGTCCCCGCCCCACCCAGAGCCACTTGCAGGCTGTGCCATGTTCCAGGAGGAGAGCAGAGCAACCAAAGCTGCTAGAACGGGAGGTCGTCCTGTACCTGAACGTCTCAACGAGCAGATGCCAAGGGCCCCGTGAGAAGGTGTGCTTTGTATACGGGGGGTGCTACTCATCCGCTTAAAAAGGTGGAATGGATGGACCTGGGGGTATTATGCTAAGTGAAGTAAATCAGATAGAAGAAGATAAATACCACATAATTCCACTCATAAGTGGGATATTAAAAACAAAGAATAGATAGGCAAAACCAAACAAGACCAAACACAAAGATACAGAGGACAGAGTAGTGGTCACCAGAGGGGAGGGGGCAGGGAAGGGCGAATCGGGCGAGGGACCACTTGTGGGGTGACAAATGGAAACTAAGCTTTTGGAGGTGAGCGCATCGGGGGTAACAGAAGCAGAGGAGCAATGTACACATGAAACACACAATGTTTAAACCGATAAGACCTCAATAAAAAATAAGGTTTGAAAAAGTCCTCACACATGTGAACTTATTTACGAAACAGAAATAGACTCACAGGCGTCGAAGACAAACTTACGGTTACCGGGGTGGGGCGGGGGGAAGGAAGTAGGAAGGGGTAAACTGGGAGCTCGAGATTTGCAGATGTTGACTACCGTATATGAAATAGAGAAACAACCAGTTTCTTCTGTACAGCACGGGAACCTGTATTCAGTGTCTCGTAGTAACCTATAATGGAGAAGAATATGAAAAAAATCTGCAAATGTGTGTATGACTGACAATTACTGTCCACCAGAAATTGACAAGCACTGTAAACTGACCGAGCTTCCATCATCAATCAATCCATAAAATATATTAATAAGAAGAGTCCATAAATTTTTCTTTCTTTTCTTTCCCTTTGTGTTTGTCCAAACCACAGAGCCACTCTAATGCCACTTCCAGAACTGCTCCTCACGCGTGGCTGAGCCCCAGGGAACCCTCTGCTGCGCCCCCACCCCCAGGCTGTAGGGGCAGGTCTTCCGGGCCTCGGGCCCCAGTCAGTCTTTCTTCTTTTCCCCTTGGCTCCCTCTCCCCATTTTTCAACTTCTTGCCACAGTCTCAAAAAACAAAGCAGAAGAAAACAAAAACAAAAACAAAACCCTGGTGTCAGGAGTCGGGGTATAAGTCTGTAATGAGATGACAGACCCCCCCCCACACACACACACATTAATACACATTCTCACAGACGGTGGTCCCCGCAGTGACCGCTCGGATGGTCAGCGCAGCACCTCCGGCCTCAGCCTCTCCGCACATCCCCCCTGGAGGACTCCGACTGGGTCACACAGCCCTGTTGTCACGCTGGCTGCTGAACATAGCTGTGGATAATCCCCCAGTCCCTGCCGGGGCTGCCTGGAAAACCCCTGTAATTTTAAACAGGCCTTGTCTCCCAGCCGTCCCTTGCCCTGAACCCTGGCAAGGTGGGGCCGGTGACTCATCCAGGCCCTGGCCTCAGGCTTGGCGCTTGTCTCCACGGGCAGCCCTGCCCGGAAACAGCTGGGACCACAGTGGGGGCTCCCATGGGGAGGGCTCTCAGCTCTGGGTTCCAGCAACTGGGAGGGAGGGAGGGAGGGACGGAGGCTCTTCCTTGGGACGTGCCAGGCTAAATCAATCCTTTCCCTTTCAGCTTAGAGATAAAAACGTTAAGTGTCATTCCAGCACTCAGCACCCAGGAATGTCCCCGCACAGCTGACAGCCCTCGACTGCCATTTAGGACGCATGAGATGCCGGCTGACAGACCCACCCCCAGGGCTCAGTGCATGCCGAGAAAGTCCTGGAAACGAATGAATGAAATAGCTAGAGTCTCAGCATGCAGCCCTCACCCTGGGACACGGCGCCCTAATGCAGCAGGGCCAGTTCTACGGGCGATAGTGACCCCTCACAGTGACATAGGGCTCCTTAGTTTACAAAGCGCTTTCAAGGCCATCAGCGCATGTGACCCTGGGGACAGCCCCGGGAGGCAGCAGGGTTGCTATTTTTAGTGTTACATACTACCCCCACCCCCGCATACCTACCCCCTCCAAAACGCTTATCACTGTTCTGTAACGACTGGCTCACACTGCGTTACAGTGGAAAGAACACGGGTCCTGAAACCAGACAGACTTGCCCGTGACGTTTGGCTTGGTCACGTACCGGACAGCCTGGCCTTAGGTCTGGTGCCTCCTCTCTCTGAGGAAGCTATTGGCCTCTCCTGGTTGTGGTCCGAGTTAAATGATGAGATGCACCTGGAAGCACCGAGCCCAGGGTCTAGAACGAGGTCGGTACCCCACTGACGCCGGATTCTCACCTCCCCCGGGAGGATGCCGGTGACTGGAAGACTGGCCCCAGGCTCATTTTTTTTTTATCCCCACAGCTTAGCACAGGACTTGGTACATGGGTGCATTATTTAAAAACAAGGCATAGAAAACAAACTTCTGGTTACTGACAGAGAAAGGGGGGAGGGGGTAAACTGGGAGTTTGGGATTAGCAGATACTAACTACTGTATATAGAAGAGATAAACAACAAGGACCTACTGTAGAGCAAGGGAACTGCATTCAATAGCTTGCAATAATTAATAATGAAAAAGAATATGACAAAGAATACATATATGTATAACTGTGCTATACACCAGAAATTAACACAACAATGTAAATCAACTGCACATCAACTAAATAAACAAATAAACACAAGAAAGAACACAAGTGCTGTGTGAATGCACAAACCTATTTTTTAAGCATGTAAACAGAAGCCCAAAGTCGCCAACTGTTCTGTCCAGGAGGGAACTGGATTTCTGTTTCCTCTATGGGCTGCTCTTCCTCCTACCCCATGCTCTCAAGGATCTGTTGTTCAGTGGGGGGAGGGTACAGCTCAAGTGGTAGAGTGCATGCTTAGCACACACAAGGCCCTGGGTGCAATCCCCAGTACCTCCTCTAAAATAAATATATAAATAAACCGAATTACTTCCCCAACCAAAAATAAGTAAATAAATAAAGATCTGTTGTTCAGCGATCTCAATAGTTAATTAAATTTCTTCTCCACAGTCTTTGTTCAGACACCTTACTGTGTCTCCTGGTTTTTTCCCAATGACATCAACTTCTCGAGGAAATTAAAGAGGCTCTTCTGCACAAAATGGCTGGGACACCCCGGGTGGTAGCACCCACTGGGCCTAAGCTATTGTGAGCTAATTAGCCCTGCCGCCGATATGCAGAGCAAGCACCTCGTGAGGAAGGTTTTCTGAGAATTGTCTAATGAGGGAGTGTAACACAGAGTTGATTCAAAAAAGATCTCAGCTAGGTTGTCTCTAGGTAAGTGGATGCCAAATTGATGCTTTCAAGTTCAAACCTAATTATGTTAACCTTCAGTTTAAAACCTCTGGTGTCTTCCTCCATCACTTTGGATCAAGGCAGAATCCTCCACCTGGTCTCTGAGTCCCTAAGTAGCTCCTGCACCAGGATACTTTCCTCACTGCTCTCCTTCCCACTTTCTCCTCTAGTCCCCTGGGCCCCATCTGGTTTTTTAATGTCACAACTTTCCCTCTCCCTCGGGCCGAGCTCTTTCATCTCTCCAGAAGCCCATCCCCTCCTTTCTCTCCTTAAATTATCTTATTCTTCAGATTTAGGTTCAAATACCATCTCCTCCAAGAAGCCTTCCCTGACTGTCCAGTCTGCCTCAGCTCAAGCTCTTTGATTGCATGATGCATGGAATCACATTCTTGTCCTGCCAACTTCTTATATTCACCCTTATGTGTATATTTTTCACTGTGGTTGTTTGAGCGACATTTGTGCTCCTCCTCCAAACTGTATACTCCAAACTGTATACTCCATGAGAACAAAGGTGAGGCCCGTGTGTCTACTTTGGCTTCCTCAGTGCTTATCACATAGTGCCTGGCTCAGGGCACACACTCAGTTTTTGTTCAGCAGAAATTTGTTAACAAGAAGAATGTTGATGTGAATGACTCAGAGGGCTGTTCCCTATGAGATCATCCATCCATCCATCCATCGATCCGGGCAGTGGAGGGGAGAAGTACCATCAGACTCATCTTGTTTGCGGGGCTCCTTGAAGCCAAAGACCTTTCATAGAGTAATCGTCTCAGATCTAGAAGAGACTGCAGACATCATCCAGCCCCAGACTCCCTCTCTTCACAAACCCACTAGGGCATGTGTTCTGCTGGACGAATGGTTTTCCAGGCTTTGCTTGGGCTCGTTCTGCGCAAGAGATCTCCATTCATAGGTGCTGGGATTACATCACCTGAAAGAGTCCTTTAAGGACTGTGTAAGGATAAATAAAGAGTAAAATTACCCAGAAGGAATGAATCTGTATTTTAGAACAAGCTATTTTAAAGCTAATAAAGAAGCAAAAATGTAGGCAAGACATGATGGAAATAAACCGTTCTAACTGGGGAGCCTCGGTACTGACTCCCAGTCCCTC